CAGCTGCAGGAGAATGAGTTAGAACTTCAAAACTCTGGTTTCCAGATTGTTGCTGGGTCTGGCCCTATATTGCAATTCCTATAGAGGTTGCTATGGCTTTTCTTGTGAGTGAGATACAAGAAGAAATTCCAAAAGCATCAGGAATAGAATAATTTATATTTTCCTTGTGGTTTTCACCGTTTCTTAGAATAGCTGTGGTCTCAGATTTTAGATTTTTTTTCACCACTTTTGTTTTATGTAACTTTGGAAACTTTGCTTTCAGTCCCTAAAGAAGAACAGCAAATGTGCATGAAATGCGTCTCTTGGAAATTCAGAGTGAGGTGCTGGTAAGTTCTGCAGTAAAGAATTACATTCAATTTTGTTTCACCTGAAAGTCCTCCTACTCTTCTTCTTGTACTAGCTATTATCGTCCTGTAGATACGTGTCAGGAAGCACTGGTACAGGTAAAAATAAAGACATGCAGCATCTGGCCCATCAGAGTGGACGATAATAAAGACTTTTGGTTGACAGGAAGAAAAATAATGGATAACACAGAACTGTGAGAGTATTTTTCATGCATATCCTGAATATAAACTGTTGCTATGATAAAAATAAAATAAATTAGAGCTTATCATTTGAAGTCTCATTTTTATACTATTTCCTGCAAAAACATACTCGAGGTTTCCAGAAAATTCTCTGGAATTTTTAAACAAACATTCTCAGTGTGCCCAAGCTGCATGCCCCGGCCTCTTATTTCACCTTTATAAAGAGATATGACCCATTGAAAACTGCACAGACACAATGATGTGCCAGGAAAGTACACCCACAGAAAATTTTTTTCTAGAAACTGCAGCAGAACCCTCCTGTATCTAATTGAATCCAGTAAATTTTCCCTGATCTAAGCAGAAAAGCATATAAAGAGTCAGTTACACTGCAGCTGCAGCCATGACGATGTGCTTTGAATCTAAGAGCCCTGGAAATAAACAGCCCTATGACAAATACGTATTTCCTTAGAAGAGAAAATAAAGCCTAAGGATAGAAGGAACAGAGTTTACCTCTTTATTTTGCAGACAGCATCTGAAGCCATTTTCATCAATTTCATGTGGGTAGTTTATCAAAGGGAAAGGCCTGGAATTTAGGAGCTATGTCAACAGTGAGAAAACATATGTACCTAAAAAAAGGAAAACCACTAGTTTCCATGGCTCAAATTCCCCAAATGTTAAATGCAAAAAGAATTTTCCATTTATCCAGAAATAACTTATCTGGCAGGTGCTATAGATTGAATGTTTGTATCCCTCTCAAAGTTCATATGTTGAAATCCTAATCCCCAATGTGACGGTATTAGGAGGTGGGGCCTTCGGGAGGTAGTTAACTCATGAGGGCAGAGCCCTCATGAATGGAATTAGTGCCCTCATAAAAGAGGCCCGAGAAAGCGCCCTTCCCTCTTCTGCCATGTGAGGTGACATTGAGAAGATGGCCCTCAATGAGGAAGTGAGTCTTCACCAGACAGCAGATGTGCAAGCACCGCGCTCTTCGACTTCCAGCCTCCAGAACTATGTGAAATAAATTTTTGTTGTTTATCTGCCACCCAGTCTGTGGTAAATTGTTCCAGCAACCCAAAGAACTAAGATAGAAATTGGTACTGAGAGTGGGATGCTGCTGTCACAAGTAGATAAAAACATGGAAGCGGCTTTGGAACTGGGTAATGGGTAGAGGCTGGAAGAATTTTGAGATACATGCTAGAAAAAGCTTACATTGCTGTGAACAGACGATTAAGGGCAATTCTGGTAAGAGCCCAGAAAGAAAAGAAGAGAGCTATAGAGAAAGCTGCAATGTTCTTAGAGAATAACTAAGTAACCCAGAAAAGAATTTTGGTAGAAGTATAGAAATATAGGCCATTCTGATGAGATCACAGATGGAAACGAGGCACACGTTATTGGATAATGGAGGAAAGGCCATCCTTGTTATAAAGTGGCAAAGAGCTCAGCTGAATTATGTTCATGTCCTAGTGTTCTGTTTAAGGTAGAACTTTCGAGGGATGAACTTGGATATTGGGCTGAGGAAATTAAGCAAAGTTTTGCGGAAATGGCCTGATTCCTCTTGACTGCTTATGGTAAAATGCAAGAAGAGAGAAATGACTTAAAGATGGAATTGCTATTAAAAAGGAAGCAGAACTTAAAGATTTGAAAAATTCTCAGCTTATCCATATTGGAAAAAATGAGAAAAAGCCTATTTTGGAGGGAACATGAAGGATGTGGCCAAATTTGATAAAGAGATTAATATGGACCAACGATCTCAACAGAAGCTAGAAGCTATTCATCAAAACAATGAGGAGACTATCTAAACATAAGCTGTATCGGGAATCACCCAGCCTTCCCTCCTGTGTGTCTCCTTTACTCACACTACTACCTCACTCACTATACTTCTGACACCAGGTGTGTGTGGCTTTCCCTCCACCAAGCAATTCTCCAGACATCAGCTGAGTATCTTACAATTTAACTCAATTCTGACACTATCCACCTGGAGATAGCGTCAGATCCCGCAGGTTAAGGGCTCAGACCCACAAGACTGCTCCTACCCCACTTCAGATGCCAATCGAAAGTCCAGATTGTGACCTGGCTTCTGACCAAATGGCTATAAATCTGAGGTTCTCACAACCCCATCCTCAGATTTTATTAATTTGCTAGAACAGCTCGCAGAACTCAGAGAAACGCTTACTTAACATTTACCAGTTTATTATTGAATGATATGGTAAAGGATGCAGATGAACAGCCAGATGAAAAGCCACATTGGGCGAGGTCTGGGAGGGTCCTGAGCACAGGAGTTTCTGTCCCTGTGGACTTGGGGTGCGTCACCCTCCTGGTATGTGGATGTGTTCGCCGACCTGGAAGCTCTCGGAACCCTATCCTTTTGTGATTTATGGAGGCTTCCTCACGTAGGCATGATGAATTAACTCCATTTCCAGTCCCTCTCTCCTCCTGGAGGATGGCAGATGAGATTGAAAGTTCCAAGTTTCTAATCATGGCTTGGTCTTTCTGGTGACCAGCCCCTATCCAGGAGCCATTCAGGAGCCCACCCAGAGTCACCTCATCAAAACAAAAGATATTCCTAGTGCTCTTATCACTTAGGAATTTACAAGGGTTTCAGGAGCCCTGTGTCAGGAACCAGGGTCAAAGACTAAATATTTATATTTACTATTATTTCACACAAGGCAAGATGTATTGTCCAAGACAGTGGAAGAAGGACTCCAAAGCCGTGGAGACCATCAGAGCTATCCCTCCCACCACAGGCCCAGAGTGCAAGGGCCTAGGGGGTGAAAAGATTTCAAAAGAGGGGCCACGGCCCAGTGGCGCCACCTCACATCATGGGTTCTGCTCCCTGCACTTCATTCCTGCACTCCTCTGCCACCCGAGCTTCAGCTCCTGTGGGTCCTGGTGAAGTATACGCTGTGCCCAGCAAAGCTATGGGGGCATGACTGCCTCCTCCTAGATTTCAAAGGATGCCCCCAAGAGACTCAGGTTCCAGGCAGAGAACTGCCATAGGAGTGGGGCCACCACAGAGAGCCCCCAGTAGAGCAATGCCCAGTGAAACCATGGGGCTGAAACTATCTCCATGACCCCAGACCAGTAGAGTCACTGGTGTGCAATTCCAGCCTGGGAGAGCTGCAGGCACTTGACTCCAACTCATGAGAGACACCACATGGGCTGTACTAGGCAAAGCCACAGAGACAGAGCTGCCAGGAGACTTGAGGCCCAACCCTTGCCCTCAAAGGCAGATCCCCCTCTCAGTGTGTCTAGAAGGCAGAACTTCCTCCTTAATGGGCCTAGAGGGCAGAACATTGAGTCAAAGATTATTTGTGAACCTCAAGGTCTAATGATGTTTGCCCTCTTGGATTTTGGACTTGCTCAGGATTCTTTCTTTCCTGTTTTCCCCTTTTGGAATTGGAGTGTCTGTCCTAGGCCTGTCCTACCACGGCATTTTGTAAGCACATGCTATGTTTGACTTCACAAATTCACAGCTGGAGAGGAATTTGTCTCAGGATGAATCACACCTTGAGTCTCAACCATATCTGATTTACATATTTAGATGAGACTTTGGACTTAGACTTTTGAGTTGATGACATATGAGAAGGACACCCTTTTGGGGGGTCAAGGGTGAAATTTTGTTATAGCAGCCTGAATAGACTTAAGACAGCAGGCTCAATTTATCCAAGATATAGCTCAAAACCACACAGTAATAACAGAAAAGAAAAATCTGTTCTAAACTTAACTTATTTAATGGTTGTTTCTTGTTAAGGACCAGAGAGGGCTTCTTATAGCTCACCTGTTGAGGAGCATTCAGGGATCTGCTCATACATCTGAAGCACGACTGCAATCAACTACTTCTCACCCAGTTTTCCACACACCTCCCCATCTTGGCTAACTTTCTAATGACGTTTTCCTCTCTCTCATCTCAAAGCTTCCACGGACCACCCTGATAACCAGTACATTACTGGTTCATTCCTGCCTGTGGAGTCCTCTTCCCATAAACTGCCCTCATGTGCAATGGCCACCTTCTCCCCAACCCTGATGTAACCTGTACAAAAATACATGAACTGAATAATTGTGAAAGCTCACCTCCTTCCTCAGGAAATCTGCTTGGGGTGGACTGCCACTGATTCTAGGTAGGGTGGTATGCAGTGGCTAAATCATTTTTGCGGTCACTTGGATATGTTTAGGAACTCACAGAGACAAATTCACAGTGTTTCACATAGAAGTGAGCCCCAGCGAATATTTATTAAATGATTGGCTGGGTGGACAGATGGGATGGATGAAAATGCAATTGGTTTTAGACATCAATTCTATTCTTAATTTCAAGTAACACATTATTAATGTTCACTGTGACATTATATATGGCTTCTATAGTTAAAAAAGGAAAGGAGAGTTGGGTGCCTTGTATATCTGGTAATATTTTGTGTGGATACCTATATTGAAGAGGATAATGCCAGCTTTGTAGCAAATTAATGACAACATTTCAATGGGTTAATATAGTAAAAGTTTATTTCTTGCTCATGAAGGAGTCAAATCAACTCAGCTGTTCCTGTTGGGTGGCTTTCCTCCATGTGGTGATTGAGAGGTCCAGGTTCCTTCTACCTTGTGGCTCTGTCATCACCTGGGGACTCAGACCTGTCTTTACCTAGCCAACAGAGGAAAAGAAAGTAGAGAAGGCACACACGTTCCTTGAGAAAACCTGGCCTGGATGTGACACCCATTTTTTTTTTTTTTTAAAGATTTTATTTTATTTTTTCTCCTTTTTCTCCCCAAAGCCCCCCAGTACACAGTTGTATATTCTTCGTTGTGGGTCCTTGTAGTTGTGGCATGTGGGACGCTGCCTCAGCGTGGTTTGATGAGCAGTGCCATGTCCGCGCCCAGGATTCGAACTGACGAAACACTGGGCCGCCTGCCGCGGAGCGCACGAACTTAACCACTCGGCCACGGGGCCAGCCCCGATGTGACACCCATTTTTCCTACTCACATTCCATCAGCAACAGTTCATCACGTGGCCACACTGGGATGGAGGATGGGCTGGAAAATGAAGTCCATGGCTAGACAACTGCCTCCTACCTAGCATAAATTCATGGTAAGGGAAGGTGGTTACAAACTTTTGGTGACTAGCTAGCCATCTCTGATGTTCAACTTCAAAAGAAATACAAAACAACTAGTAAAGATTACTTTTAATGAGAATGCCCAATCCTGTTTGGAAAACAGCACTCTCACATATTGCTTCTAATTGGTGAAACATTTTTTGTTCCATTTTCAAACTGACTTATTTAGAAAGCAATTTGGCAATATGTATTACAACTCAAGTTTTTTCTGTCTTTGGATCCAGTGGTAATTCTGAGAATCCATATTAAGATAATATTCCAAAATATTTTTTAAAGCTTTATGTATAAAGATGTTGACCACAGAGTTATTTAAGCAATGAAAAATTAGGAAAAATAGTGAAAATTTATTAGTAAGGGAATAGTTAATTACATGGTCAAACATTTGTCCAATGCCATATTTATGTAGCCATTGAAATATTTATGAAGCATTTTAACAGTGTTTGCCATAAAGCTTTATTTTTTTTTTAGATTGGCACCTGAGCTAACATTGTTGCCAATCTTTTTTTTTTTTTCCTTCTTCTCCCAAACCCCCCCGTAAATAGTTGTATATTTTAGTTGTAGGCCCTTCTGGTTGTGCTATGTGGGACACTGCCTCAGCATGGCCTGATGAGCGGTGCCAAGTCCATTCCCAGGATCCGAACTGGTGAAACCCTGGGCCGCCGAAGCAGTGAGCGAACTTAACCACTTGGCCACGGGGCCAGCCCCTAAAGCTTTATTTTTTAAAGCAAGTTACCAAATTTTATGTGCAGTATTATCTCAATTATGTAAAAAATACGAGAAACATAGAAAAACACTGAATATGCTAAACATTAGCTGAAGTTCCTTCTAGGTGGTAGGATATGGTAATTAATTTTCTTTTTGTTTTTTCATAATATTCAAATTTTCTAAAGTGAATGTACATTATAACTTTATATTTAGAAAAATATTAACTTGGAGGGTAAGGAGAATGACCTTATACAAGGCAGATCTATTACTCAGTAGAATTTGGTTGGATCTTTCTTGCAACTGCTCCCATCTCCTCTTTCCTTGGCTGTGTTCCCCATTCTTGATCTTGGCTGCTGCTTTTGATGCTCCCTGTAACATCAACCAGTAAACTCCTTTTATTAAGTCAGCTTGCTCCTCCAATACTGCCATTTGTTGTTGCGGCATTCATTATTTCCTGGTAATAACACCCCTTGCTCAGAATTTTAGGGCTCATCAACTCTGTGATAGTAAAAAAATAAAATGATTACAGCAGTTCCTTTAAGGAGACTGATCTGGAGCAATGTGCATGGAAGATTTGAATGTGATAATGACTTACATAATTCTTCTACCCTTTTATGTGAATAACAGGAATACTGACTATACTATGTCTACAGGACTCTTCAGTAGACTGCAAGCTCCTGGAACATAGCAATTGCATCATCTTGGTTTCTCCAGTGCCTAACATAGTTCTGATACATAATTGGCACTTAATAGACGTTTTAAATAAATAAATGACTGAATGGATGGAAGGAAGGGTAACTATTAATGATGGTGATTGCTATTTACTAATGGAGATCAGCCAGTCAATTAATGTTTATTGAGCACACTTTATGTGCCAATTTGTGCTTGGAACTAGATTCCAAGAAATCATGGTAGGGAAAAAAAAAAGGTAGATTGGTGAATTAGATGGACTTTTCAGCCAGTGTAAATGTGAAAATATGGAACCCTCTGAAGCCTTTTTAAGATGTGTTTGGCCCATCCAGCTAGTGCTAACTAGTGGATACATGGTCCCAGGGCTACAGATCCGGATTAAGCATAGTTGGGTAGACCAGGCATAGTTTGGTCACTGTTTAGTCGAGTAGTCCGCCAGGGTCAAGTGGTCACAGATAGGGTAAGCATGAGTGTTAAAGGTTAACGAGACAGCTCATGTGCAGACCATCAGTGTAGCAACCACCTGGGATCAGCTCTGCCCAAGCTTCTGCTGACTTTCAATCTGGCAATTTAGATGGAAATTGACTCTTCCCACCTCTCCATTTCCTCTGGACTTAACACAATCACCTGGATATCCTAATTAGGGCCCTCATGATCCACAGTCCCTAAAAGGAGTCCTCTTATAGGGTAGGCTGGGAATCTGGCCCTTCTCAAAGCTCCACGCGTGAGCAATGGTCTTAGTAATGGGGACTCACCCCATTCCTGATTGCTAGGATGAACGGTTTCTACCACTCAGAGCCTTATGAATGGACTTGTCTAAGACTATAATCCCTTACACACGTGCCACTCTGCGTGACTCACATGCCCTGAATACTGCTTCAGTGCTGAGTCTGCCTGTGCCCCAAGACCTGGAATCCTCAGCGGCACCCTGTCTTGTCTTTAATTTGCAGCAGCTCTCATAAATGCAGAAAGAAATGTTTTTCTAAGAAGCTAAATGTGACATCTATGTTCTTGAAAGAATGTAAAAGATTGGAAATAAACACTCCTTTTAAAAAATTTCTCTGGCCCGGCCCTGTGACTGAGTGGTTAAGTGCGTGCGCTCTGCTTCAGCAGCCCAGGGTTTCACTGATTCGGATCCTGGGCGCGGACATGGCACCGCTCATCAAGCCACGCTGAGGTGACGTCCCACATGCCACAACTAGAACGACCCAAAACTAAAATATACAACTACGTACTGGGAGGATTTGGGGGAAAAAAGCAGGAAAAAAAAAGAAGATTGGCAACAGTTGTTAGCTCAGGTGCCAATCTAAATCATTCTTTAGAATTCTACAAAACCACATCTGTGTGCCTTCTTTTACATACATTTCTATAAAAACATATATTTTAAAATATCATGTTATAATTCTTTCAGGGAAAATTAAAGGTCTTGGCAATCACCAATCACTTCTGTTTTCATGCAGAGAATGTTTCTATAGAAGTCCACCAGCAACATCACCAACAAAAACATCTATTTTAAAGTAAGTTGGCAGTAACTGTTACCCCAAATTTGGCAGAAAAACAAAAATAGTCCAAATAAATATAATTTTTTCCCTCAGCAAAGTCAACAATCTTACACAAATCTATGGACATGTTGTACCTTAACTCTAGGGATACTCTGGTTTGTCTCACTGACAAATTTTTATTAAAAAAAAAAAAAAGGTAGCGGAGGGGTGGCCAGCCCTGTGGTGTAGTGGTTAAGTTCACATGCTCTGCTTCACAGGCCCGGGGCTCACAGGTTCGATCCCAGGTGCGGACCTACACACCACTCATCAAAGCCACGCTGTGGCAGCATCCCACATATAAAATAGAGGAAGATTGGCACAGATGTTAGCTCAGGGACCATCTTCCTCACCAAAAAAAAAAAACTTTCAAAGTTACAGATTTCAAGAGGATCTTATTTAAGACCAATTCATTAGAGGAAAACAAAGCATTGGGAGGACAAAGATTTTGGAATTTCATACCACTCTCCCTGAAATTTATTTGAGAAACTCCTAGCAGTCATCAAGACACTGGAAAAGCACCGATCAGCCCTATGTCGGTTCACAAACTGGCCCCTGTACACAGAGGGCAAGGAAAGACCAAAGAAAGATGCAGACTGTTATGTGGCATGTTTAATAAGCAAGGAAACTTACATACCAGGCTTGTCTTGGGCAGCGGCAAGATGTGAGGATCTCCACATCCACCCACCAGAATCTTAAATGTTTATAGAGGCTTTCACTGGGTTCAGTCATGTATACCATCCAGATGATCTCAACAACACGTTACTATCTCAAGGCTGTGTCCATGGGACAGCTTCGAGTGCAGGGGAAGGCAAGCGGAGCACACATTCCAAGGACAGGGGAGGGGTGAGGAGCCTCCAACTGCCCAGGTCCAACCCGAGGGTCAACCAGTGGTCACATCCTTTCCACGACCTCTTCCAACATCCTAGCAGGCAAGAGGCTAAGCTATTTTGCCCAAAGTAGCAACAAAGAATCCCCAACAAACTTAAAGAAAGCAGAAGAAAATAATTACCTGTTGCATATCCTCATTATCTTTGTTACTGACCATTTGAAAAACAAGGGACCCAAAGCTCTGTCCTGATTAAAGGGAGGTTCAGAAGATACAGTCAAAAAGATGCATCCCCTAGATACGGATTTACTATGCTAATTGCAAATAGGATAAAAAATACAAGTGGCTCTCTGAACTACAGACCTTATTCAGTACAATTACATACTCCATAAACACCACTGATTGCTACAGAGACAGTATTACAAGTGTTGAGAGTACTCTGGACTGTCAGACTATTTGGATTTGAATCCTACCTCCCATGCATGCTATGTGACCTTGAACAATTCACTTACCCTCTCTGAGTCTTAGCCGCCTTATCTGTAAAATGGGGATAAAAATAGTAATTACCTCAAGGATTGTTATGAGGATTAAATGAGTCAATTTATGTAAAGTTAATACATTTAAGAAAAGTACCATTGTACAGTAAATACTATATTATTATACACCAATACTAATACGCTAAATTTCACTGACAAGTCAAAAATTGCTAAATCTGTGCCTATCTAAACAAAACACTTATGATAAATGAAAAGATTTCATTATTAACATTATCAATAATTGCTTTGTTTCAAGATGGTGGACACTGATACTCTGAACAAGTATACCAAATTTGGTAAAATCTATCAGTTCCTTCAAAATCATTGTGGAATAAATATACAAACAGAATGAAAGACATTAACTGTCAAATGATGAATTAAAATAGAAATTTCATTTGCTTTCTATCAAAAACGGTTACGAAATTATCTGGACTATTATTCAGAGCAAAGTATTGGTTGTAAACTTGAAAGTATTCAGAGTAATTGGAGTTTTACAGCTTTCAATCGCCAATCTGGTACAATTCAACTAAAAAATAGCAATAGCAAATCCTCCAGTTAACACAGCATACTTAAAACATTCGCTTTCCTCCATTCCTTATGACGCTTCACTAAAACAAAACAGAGGTTAAAAAAGAGTAGGGGACATAGACCCACAAGAACAAAGAGAACAGGAGAAGAGACCACAGCAAAATGCCCACAAAAATTTAGAAACTGATTGATGTGTATTGAGTTGTATCCCCTTAAAATATACATTGAATGTGACCTTATTTGGAAATAGGGTCTGTGTGGATGTGATCAAATTAAAATGAGGTCATAATGAGTTATGGTGGGCCCTAATCTAATGACAAGTGTCTTTACAGCAGACGGATATCTGGGCACAGAAAGACCCACAGGGAGAACACCATGTGATGATGGGGGCAGAGACTGGAGTGATGCATCTATAAGCCAAGGAACACGAAGGACTGCCAGCAACCACCAGAAGCTAAGACAGAAGCATGGGACCCCTCAGAGCCCCCAGAAGAAACAAAGCTTCTGATACCTCGATTCCAGAGTTCTAGCTTTTGTAGCTGTGAGAGAAAAAATATTTGTCTAATTAAATTGAGAAAATCACTCAAAGTAGAACAAAAAGGCAAAGAGATAGAAAATAGGACAAAGAAAAAACATCAGCAAGAAGGTTCAACATCTGAATAATGAATTTCTAAAAAGAAGAGATAACAATAAGGGAGGGGGATACTAGAGGAAATCATCAAGTAAATAATAGCAGAAAAACTCCAGAACTGTAGAACATAAAATGGAGGAGAGGAAATCATAAAATAAATAATACCAGGGGCCAGCCCCGTGGCCAAGTGGCTAAGTTTGTGCGCTCCCCTTCAGTGGCCCAGGGTTTTGCTGGTTCAGATCCTGGGTGCAGACACGGCACTGCTCATCAGGCCATGCTGAGGCAGCGTCCCACACGCCACAACCAGAAGGACCTACAATTAGAACAACTATGTATGGGGGGTGGGATGTGGGGATGGGGGGGCTTTGGGGAGAAGAAGCACCAGAAAAAAAAAGAGATTGGCAACAGATGTCAGCTCAGGTGTCAATCTTTAGAAAAAATAATAATACCAAAAAAATTTCCAGAACTGAAGAACATGTGTTTCAAGATTGAAAACAGCCAACAAAGTGCCAGATCAATAAAAATTAGAAAAGAGCCATAACTAAGAAACATGATTGTGTCTTAGAACACTGGGAATAAAGAGCAGATCCTAAAACTTCTTGAGACAAAACAAACAGAAGAGAAGCAGGTTACATATAAAGAAATCCGTTACCTATAAAGGAACAGGAATCTTAATGATGTAGGACTTCTCAACGACAATACTGGAAAGCTAAACTACCGTGAAGCTAGCCCTTTAACATTCTGAGTGAAAATTATTTTCAACCAAGAATTCTATACTCAACCAGAATTAAAGACAGTTATAGACAGTTCTTCTAAGGAAAAGAAAAGAAAAAAAAAAACGCACCTGCCTGCAACATTCCACAAGAAACTACTGGAGGATATGTTCCACAAAATGAGAGGACAAAATCAAGAAAAAGGAGCATACAGATTCAGGAAATAGGGAATCCATCTCAGGAATGAAGTATGGCTCATTCCCTGGACGGCAGTGAGGGAGACCCCAGGACATCAGCTGAACCCAGCGCCTCTCAGACTTTGACGTGTGCAGGAATTAGTGGCGGATCTGGTTAAAATGCAGATTCTGATTCAAGAAGTCTGAGTGGAACCTGAAATTCGGCATTTTTAACAAGCTCGCCTCAGGATGTTGACGCTGCTGGTTCCGGGACTACACTTTGCTTAGCAGGGTGTGGAGGACAAACAGTCCAAATTGTTTAAAGAAGATTGTACAGAGAGAGAAATTGATTTGCTTCTGGGAGATAACTGAGGATGAATCAGTGTTAGGCAATAATAGCATAGCAGAGGGCGGAGACGGATGGAAGAGAGGAAGAGAAAGATTAATCTTTTAAATAAATAAAATCAAGGAAAGACAAGGGCTGGGGTTCAGCCTTATAACTAGTAAACCCCTGAAGAGGAAGCCCAGACCACCTTAACCGATCGGAATTCGGGCGTCTGGGGTCTCAGGACCACCCCTGGGCGATGCTCGGGACGGCGGTACCGGTCCGCCCGGGGACGCAGACAGGGTAGACGGAATATGCATCTCCCCAGATCCGGGAGGGGGCGGAGCCTCGGCCAGCCCGGGCTCCGGGTCTTAGGGGGCGGGGCATGGGCGGAGCCTTTTCCCTAAATTAGCGGGCCCGCGGCTGCGCGGGGGATCGGATTGGTGGCTCTTGACCTCGGAAGTAGTCGGCGGCGCTCGGAAGCAGCGGCGGGACGCGGGAGTCGGCGGGCTCTGAGACTGCAGGATGGTCGGAGGCGGCGGGAAGCGCCGGCCCGGCGGGGAGGGCCCGCAGGTACTGCGGCAGAGGCTGTGCGGGCTCGGCCGGCCGCCTTGGGTGATGGCCGGGGCAGCACAGTGCGTTTATCCAGGAGTCATTGAGCGCCTGCTGCGTGCCCGGGAACGGCGGTCGGCTCCAGGGAGCCTGCCCAGGGCCGCTGCCGCCCTCTCTGCTGGGGTTTGGACCAGAGCAGTAGCGCCGTGACATCTTCTGCCCTCCTCCCCGTGCAGTCCTGGGGAAGCAGATTAAGACAACCAACGGCTCATTGGGTCACTCAGCCAGATTGATTGGAAACCGACAACTCCTGTCCCCGCTGCCCCACGTAGAGCCCCCAGCCTGGGGAGGCGGGGCACGAAGGAATGTACATTTTACTGTAACTTTTTTGTTGGCGTTATAGCGCTAATGTGTAGAAAGTGCTGTGGAACATTGAAGGAGGATTTAACAAGTCCCCGGGGAACGTTAAGGAAGTCTTTTAGGGCAACTCAGGTTTGAAATGGTTCCTGAAGGCAGAGAAGAGAATTAAGGGATGAGTGGAGAGAAGGTTTGGGCACAGCGGAGAGTTAGGCCTGGCTGGAGCCTGGAAGGTGGAAAAGTAAGAGGGACCTGATCAGAAAGGCACTCATGAGGGAGGGGGGTGTAAAGTATGTGCGTTTTCTCATGCTTTTATAGGATTTCAGAGGTTCTGTGACCACTGCAGTAGCAATAAAGAGAGTCGGGCAGGAAAGAAGTGTCGCTGTGATAGGTAGAGTTTTAGAAAAGTTACTCTGGCTTTAATATAAACTGGATGGGGTGAGGCTGTTAAGAGGGCTTAGCTGTTGGAGGGCCGTGGGCCTGGGCCTTTGTGTTGGGTCGTGCTTTCTAGGAACACAGGGGCGAGGCATAAGTGCAGCCTCTGAGGGGGACAGCTGTCCTACCTTTTAGTTACTGAGGATTTGGAGATGCTGAACTAGTGTGTGAGGTAAGGCAGAGCTGAGCGAATCCTTATCTCCCTTTGAAGGTGCAGCGAACCGCTTTGACAGTGACAGTATAAGAAATAAAATATCAAAAATGCAGATGAGTCTAAAGAGACTACAGCTAACAGTAATAGCCAGCATGTATATATTAGGTGCTAGGACTATTCTGTGTATTTTACAAATAATAACTTACTCCTCGTCACAACCCTATGACGTAGATACTACATACGCCCTTTGTGTCGTTGGGGAAACCAGGCACAGAGAGGTTAAGTAATTTGCTCAAGGTGACAGAGCTGGAAATCAGAAGAGTCAGGAGTCAGCCCAGGCAATCTAACCATTATGCAAAATTGCCTTTCAGCCAGGTAGATTAAGGCTGTTCTCTCTAACGTCTTAAATTTGAGCCAGTGTTTGAAAGTCCAACCAATGACAGTTATAAGAACAGGAGGGAGGATGGGGCAGGACTTGATGTGTCCTCCTGTTCCGTATTTGTAGTTGGAGAAGCAGCTTGAAGTGGTTGAAGCTGTGCTTGGGACCCAGCCTGCCTGGGTGTAAATCCCTGTTCTTCCACTTTCTAGTTAGGGACTTAGGGGAAGTTACTTCATTTCATTTGTAAAGTGTGAATGCTAGTGTCTAGCTTATGAGGTAGTTGTGAGGATGAAATGAGTTAATCCATAGAAAATGCTTAGAACAGTGGCCTGGCAGGTAGTAAGTACATAGTAAGTATTACTTATTGTTCTTACTATTATGATCATTATTACTGTTATTGTTTGCTATTATTATCAACATCCATTTTTGGATCCATATTTCAACAGCCTTTTTGTTCAATTTAATTTTTTTATGACCTCGGATAGACACGTTATAATTCTTGACATAAAAAACTTAGCGGTCAATGCGTGGTCCTCTTTTCCCTTATTTATTTAACAATGTAACAAACACCTGTGAACCCATTGCCCATCCCAACAACTGAAACACTGACAATAGCTCTCCATCCACCTGTGTTCCTCACTTGTCCTTTCTGCCGAACTTCTTCCTGTCACCCCAATTCAATGTAGCAACCAACCTGAATTTTATGTTTTCCCTTGCTGCCTATTTATAGTTTTATCATCTGTGAGTGTATGCTGAAACAATATTTATTTGTTGTTTTTGAACTTCATAAAAAGGCTATCATGCTGCATATAATCTTCAAGGACTTTTTTCTTCATTCAACATATTATTAAGCCTGATCCATATTGTTGTGTATAGCTATATTTCCTTCTCACTGAGAGTAATAGTCCATTGTTTGCAAGTCCTGGAATTATCCATTCTCCTGTCAGTAGGCATTTTCATTTGTTCTGTTTTCTGCTCTTAGATACAGTGTTATCAAGAACAGTCTTGTATGCGTTATGTGATTCATAAATAGATTTTATAGACTTTGAATGATACATACCTAAAGTGACATCAAAAACTTGAGCCTCTAGGGAAAATGGAAGAATATAAATACGGGACACATCTAGGTTAGAATTTTTCAACCTCAGCAATATGGACATTTTGGGCCAGAGAAGTGTTTGTTTGGCGGGCCTGTCCTGTGCGTTGTAGGATGTTTAGGAGCATCCCTGGTCTCTACCCTCGCTAAATGCCAGTAGCACTGCCGCTACCAAATTTATGACAATCAAAAATGTTTCCAGACGTTATCAAACGTGTCCCTTGGGGGGCAAAACTGCTGCGAGTTGAGAAGCACTGATGAAGGTGGAAAGGAAGAAAAAGGAAGGAACTTAATCCAAAAAGAAAGGATCCTGGTTCCTAGAAAGAAAAGGAGATTGCTATTTACAAAACTAAAGACAAGTAACCTCCAAGTGAGCATTTTGTCTCTACAGGAATTTATCCAATATCTAATACACATTATAGCACCCAGCGTACTTAACATAATGAACCTATATTGCAGAGAGATGTTAGAGGTGAGTTTCATAACACAGTCCTGGCATTAAAGGGCCTTTTCTGGAATAATTGTTTTAACTGGCAAATCCCCTTGTGTCCAATTATTTCTGACAATTTGCTTCTGGTGTGATCACTGAATGTTTCAACAAAAGGCACGATGACATCCTGTATACCAAGAGAAAGCATTCTCTTATTATTTCTCTTTTCCCGCTCGTTACCTTTTCTTTTTGTTTTTTGTCTTCTGTGTTTTCCTTATCTTAGAGAAATATATTTAAAGACTTGCTGTGTTGGGTCCCTCTTGCACTGTGTATTATAAGCTGTTCTTTCCCTTTTTTCTTTGCCCAAAAGAATCCCCATATTTTACTCAGAAATACCATTTATAGAGTGTTAAACATGTCTCTCATAGAGTGGGGTGAACAAAAGGAGCAATATTGTTTTGCAAGGAAAGTTATTGAAATTACTTTTGGAGAAACAAAATTTTGTGTGCCAATTTTCAGTGTGAAAAAACAGTTGATGTGAAGAAGAGTAAATCGTGTGAAGCTGATGTCTCCAGTGACCTTCGAAAAGAAGTTGAAAATCATTATAAGCTTTCTCTACCTGAAGATTTCTATCACTTCTGGAAGTTCTGTGAAGAACTGGATCCTGAAAAGCCAGCTGGTGAGTTGCTTCAGAATCGTTCTCCTGCTTCTACCAGTGGAAGCTGGACCAAGGCTCTGAACAGTTCATAGAAAAGGAACTTTTCAAAGATGTTTCTAATAAGAGAAGTATAAAATAATGCTATGATATGTCACTTTGATCTGTTTTACTGGCAGAAGTAAGTAATTTCACGATCTGCTTTGAGGATTTGAAGGAAAACAGGTGCTTTGGTATGTTGCGGGAGTGTTGGTATGACTTAGCAATTCCCTTCTAGGAGCTTGTCCTATGGATTAGGTGAACCAAAAATTATGTTCAATGATATTTATTAAAACAAAGTGGGAAATGGCTTAAAAGCCCATCAGTAACACATCTATTCAATGGATAGTCATCGTTTTAGAAGAACGAGGCCGATTTTTAGGCAATGATTAAAGTTTCACGCGTGAAATGTTTTAAGTGAAAAAGAAATGTATAGAGAAGGCTACTATTAGTATTTAAAAAAAAAATCAAGTATCCACATACACATCCCTGTATACTATCTGTGTGCTTATACCATGTCTGAAAGGATACACAGAAAACTGATAATGGTTGTGACAGTTACTTTTCACTGTTACCCTTGTGTACTGTTTAAATGTTTTAACATGAGTTAGGGTGAGAGAAGCACTCCTATATACTATTGATGGAAATGTATATTGGTAGATAACTGAATTTTGGCAGTATATCAAAAGATTTAAACTGTGTAGCAACTTATCCAAAAATATTCATGGCTGTATACAAACATGTTTTAGCAAAGATGTTCACTGAAGCATTGTTTAGAATAGTAAAAAAAGTTAGAAATGGTAATGTCTATTAATAGAATATATATCTATAATGGAATATGATGCAGCTCTTGAAAATTATGTAAAACATTTAATAGCATAGGAAGTTATTCAGAAATTTTAAGTGAGGACAGGATAGAGAACAAAAAGATGACAACAGCATGATCTCCCTTTAAGATATCTATATATCTTTTTATAAAGGAGAAAAATGTTATTACTGTATACCAGACTGTTAACCTTGTTATCTTTGGCTAGTGAGATGGATAATTTCAGTTTTTTTGTTATTTTAAAAATTAGTGCATGTTATCCTAAACTCTAGCTAAGCTCACCTGGTTTCCGCCTTCACATAAACTGTCTTCATGCTTTTATTTACGTTGTTACCTTTTCCAAGAGTTTTCTTCCTCTCTCCATATCCACCTCCTTACATATCCAGGTCTTGCCTGGAGTGCTTACCTCCCTCTTAGAGAAGCAACGAGGACCCATCTGATGTTGTAA